GTAGCTTTTGGAAAAATGATGCTGTAGAGATAATCTAAAATGAATTAGATAATAAACAGACACCTTCTTTTGTTGCATTTACTGACAGTGAAATTCTTCTAGGTGAGTCAGCTCTAAATTAGATTCATGCGAAATCCCCCTTAATACTGTTTATGACATTAAAAGATTGATGGGAAGAAGATTTTCGGATTCGGATGTTCAAAATGCAATTTTAGATTTCCCCTTTAAAGTAGAGGCAGGAATAAATGACCAACCATTTATTGTTGTTCATTAATAAGGAAAAATTTAGAAAATTTTACCTGAAGAAATTTGTTCCATGATATTAGAGAAGTTAAAGAAAACAGCTGAAGCATATTTAGGCAAACCAGTTTCTTCGGCTGTAATTTCAGTGCCAGCCTATTTCAAAGATCTATAAAGATAAGCCACTAAGGAAGCGGGAACCAGAATTGGTTTGAACATTTTGAGAATCATCAATGAACCCACTGCCTCTGCTCTAGCTTATAATTTGGATAGGAGTATTCATTAGGAATTACATGTTCTCGTTTTTGATCTGGGAAGCAAAAAACTTGATCTTAGTCTACTATTTATTGAGGATGGTGTCTTTGAGATGAAGGAAAATCTTATTAATAGTAAATTGAGTGGAATCGAATTTGATAACAAACTTATTGAATATTGTTGTACTTAATTCTTAAATAAGAAGGGTATAGATATAAGAAATAACTTAAAATTATTACAAAAGCTTCGAATACAATGTGAAAAGGCCAAAAAGGTACTTTCTTTTGCTGATCATGCTACGATAGAGATCGATAATTTTCATAATAACGAGGATTTTCTAATTACTATTACTAAACCAAACTTTGAAATGCTTTGCATGAATTTGTTTAAATAATGCATTCAATCTATAGATAGGATTCTAATGAATTAAAATCTCTTAAAGAATCAAGTTAATGAAATAATTCTTGTTGGAGGATCTGCGAAGATTCCAAAAGTCTAGGAATTGCTAAAAGAATATTTTAATAGAAAGTAATTGTATCAATCAATAAATCCAGAGGAAGTCATTGCTCGTGGAGCTGCTACTTAAGCTGCCATTTTGAGTGGACAATTATATTAGCAAGTCTAGTTAGGCTGCATCGCAGACGGCACCAGAAAGACAAGAGGGAGAGAGACTTCCGGAGGGCGAACGACGACCCGAAAAGCAAGAAAAACAACGACGCCAACAAAGAAAGCACAA